TGTGTGTGTGTGTGAGAGAGAGAGAGAGAGAGACAGAGACAGAGACAGAGTGTGTGTGTGTGTGTGTGCGTGTGTGTGTGTGAGAGAGAGAGAGAGAGAGCGCACGCCCACGTGTAAAACCCAGAGCCAGTGCTAGAGTCAGGAGCCTGTGACCAGCTGGCAGGGCCCCCATTGGCCTTGCCCAGCCCCAGAGGGCCGCTCTGACAGCTGTAGTCCTGCCCTCGCCCTGCCTGGCCCCAGGAGGGGCCTGTTGACCCAGGCAGCAGCGGAGCCCCCTCTGGAGACCTGACCCAAGCCCTTTCGGCCGGCCCGTAGCTGGACTCCGAGGAGCCTCAACCCAGCCTGCGGTTTCTGGCAGGGAGGTGGGCAGCCGTCCAGAGGTGGGTGTGACCCAGGGCAGAATTTCCCTGGACTGCTTGCTGCCTCTGGGAACTGCAAGGCCTCCCCACGGCCGGCTCCCCAGGACCCAGTGGACAGCCCTGAGCAGGTTGGGCCTACTGTGTGCATTTGGGGAGCATGCTAGGCAGACAGTGTAGCTTAGCCAAATCCATGAATTCTGCCAACTCCGGAGTCACCTTTGCCAGAGGCTAGGGACACAACAATGACAGGGGGGCAAGGTTGGTGGGGTGATGACCTTGAGCAAACAGCCAGGGGGTGTTCCTGGAGATACTGAGGAAGGGGGAAGGGGACACTTTTCAGAGAGCCATGGAGAGGGGCTGCGGAGGGTGTGTTCCAGGCAGAGGGAAGGCCATGCGCAGGTGCCTGGGGAAGACCAAGAGGACTGGCCTTCCTGGGAGCAGAGGGCCTAGTGCTGCTGGAACCTTCCAGGGTGCGGAGTGCAGTGAGCACAGAGCGTGGCAAGGAACCTCTGTCTCCTTCTGAGAGATGAGAAGTCCAGCCCCTAGTAGGGCTTTACTCAACACCTCAAACCTTTCCAGAAGCTCACCCAACCCACATTTAGGTGTAAATCAAACTGTGGCCCTGACACCCTCAGAGACCCCTGTTTCCTGGGTGGCAGTAAGGCACATGTGGGAGCCTGGGTGGTATAAGTGCTTTGCCATCATCTGCTAGCTGAAAGGTTGGCAGTTCGAACCCTCTCAGGGGCTCTGCAAAAGAAAAGCCTGGAGATCCATGTGTATAAAAGTTCTAGACTAGAAAACTCTGTGGAATGACTCCTTTATGTGACACATGGGTCAGGGGCAGGCTCCATGGCAGGTGACCGGGACAGCAGACACCAGCAAACTCATACCACGAGTAGCTGGGGAACGTCTGCAGCATTTTAGCCATGGAGGGCAGATGCAGGTCACATGAATGAATATTAAAGATGTGACCTTAGATTTATAGAAGAATAATAAAAATTAGAATAAACACTACACTAGACCCCCCCAAAAAAAGGTGTGATCTTAGAATAACTGAACTGTGTCAAGGGGTGAGGGAGAAAGATTTTAGCCCCACAATCTCCACCAGCACCCTAAACCTCAGTTATCATAATAATGCACTGAATGTGGAAAGCAATACTTCCATCAGTGTTTTGTAAAACATCACTAAGCACCATTGAAGCCTTGCTCTTTGAGCGAATGTGTAGGCAATGTAAAAGATGGCAGGATTGTTAAGGGGAAAGCTCTGGTGGCCTAATGAATAAGGAGTTGCACTGCTAACCAGAAGGTACAAGGTTCCAATCCACCTGCTGCTTCATGGGGAAAAGATGGGTGGTTTCCTCCTGTGTGATTTACAGTCTCTGGAAACCTGCTAGAAGGTCAGGTAGGAGTTGCTTCTGACTAGACGACATGTAACACAAACACCAATCTACCAGTCTCCATAGCTCAATAGGTTAAGCATTGGGCTGCTAACTAATGAGTCAGCAGTTCAAATCCTCCAGCTCCCTAGGGAGAAAGATGGACCATCTATTCTTATTCAGATTTATAGCCTCAGAAAATTCATGAAGCCTTGCTAATAGTCAGAATGGCAGTGGGACAGTATGGGACAAGTAATGAAAAAAGACAGTGGCCCTCCCCTTCCATGTGGGAGACCTGGGTTCCATTCCGTGCTGATACACCTTATGCACAGCCACCACCTGTGTGTCGTGAGAGGCAGGTGCGCTGGTTGCTATGGTTTTGGTTAAAGTGGAGCTTCCAGGCTAGCCACACTAGGAAGAAAGGCCTGGTACTCTACTTACAGTCAGCCAATAGCAATCCTATGTGTCACAATAGTCTGATCTGAAACCAATTATGGGGATGAAGCAGGAGTGAGCCGCTTTTGGCTTAGGATCACCATAGGTCCGGGTGAAATCAGCGATATCTAACAAAAGCAACAGCTGTTGTATAAGATAGGGTTTGCCCTACAAAAAGCAGCTTGAAGACAAGTCCTGCCATTGGTCTTCCCACCAGAAGGCTCCCTCGGCCCCTCCTCGGGAAGTGTGGGAGCGTCTGCTCCACAGTAACAGCTGTATCTGGTTGAGTTCTCGTTATGTCAGTTTGGTGTGTAGTATCACAATCAATGCACGCTTCTGAATTGCCACTTTCCTGTGTGGTTTTAACCAGTTACCCCAAACTTAATGGTTTAAGATGACACAGATGTATTTACCTTTCAGTTCTCAATTCTGAAGTCAGAAGTCCAACACAGCTTTTTAAAAATGAAGTAAAAGGCGATATCCTATAGAGAGATGATCAGCACAGTATCATTCAAGAAAGGGAGGCACCGAGAGACATGGAAGGATCAGTGGAAATGAGAATTATAGGGAGGAAGTGGGGGAAATGTGGTTACATTGTAGGTACTGAAATTAATGTTACTGAACAAAATGTACATGAATGATGAAGTGAAATTTAATTTTACTTGTAAAAAAGTTATGTAGTGATAAATGATACCTAATTAATATGTAATTAAGACAATAAAATAAAAAATATAGTTCATGGAAGATGTGTGTGAAGTTACTATTTAAAGAGGAAATAAGAGAGAAGATCTTGTCCCACAGAGACAGAAGACATAAGAAGATTGATTTTAAAAAATTTAAAGGTACTGTACAACAAAGTAGCTTTGTAAATAAAATCTTAACATTTAAAAAAAATTTAAAGGTAAAAATAAAGGAATTAAAAACCCTAGGTCATGGAGTTCATGCCTGCTCACCAAGACCCTGTAGGAGAGATGAGAATTGCCTCTCAGAGTTTCCAAAGCTGTAATCTTTCCTGAAGTAGATTGTCACATCTAATGAAGCAGCTCCACTGTAGTTCGAACTACTGACCTTTCAGTTGATAGCCTTGCACTTGAACCACTACATCACCAGGGCTCTGGCATGAGTCTCGCAGGGCTAACATCCATTGCTGGCGGAGCTGGTTCCTTCCAAAACCTCCGGGGGCTTGATTATCTGTTTGCTTGTCTTTTCTATCTTCTTGAGGCTCCTTTTGGGGCATGTTATCAGGGGAGGCCAGTCCTTGGAGGAAGACTTCATCCTGGGAAACGCAGAGGGTCAGCGAGGTAGAGGAAGACCCTCAATGAGATGACCGACACGGTGACAGAAACAATGACTTTAACATAGCACAAATGGGAGGATGGCGCAGGACCCAGCCAGGTGTTGTTCTGTTGAACACGGAGTCGCAATGAGTAGGAGTTAGACTTGATGTCACGTGGTTCGGAGCTCCTTCCTGCATCTTCAAAGCACATCAGTCCAACCTCGGCTTCTGCCCTCACACTTGTGATTATCCTGGGCCTACCTAGGTAACCCAGGAGAATCCCCTACCTCAAGATCCTGAATTTAATCACACCTGCAAAATCGCTTTAGCCATGTGAGATCACATAGTGAGGTCCTAGGAATTGAAAGCCTGAGTTTGGTAACAATGAGAATATCTGGTAGTGAGCACCCCACACAGTGAGCTGTTGTGCCAAAGTATGTGAGACAGAGTTTCACCATTCTTTTTTGAAGTAGAACTATGGCTACATTGCTTCCAATTGTTTGTTCTTTTGGCAGCCTGTGATATAATCAGTATTCTTTGCCACATTATAATTCAAAGGTATCAGTCATTTGAAAGTGTCTTACAAGAACATAAAAATGTTTCACTTTTCATTTTTCATCTCTGTTCAGCAATGGAATGGACCTGTCATTTTATTTTTCTCTAGTTAGTGATCTCATTGTGAGGTGGGGGGGGCGGAGTGCAGAGGTATGAACTTCACCAAGTGACACTGTTAGACTGTTGTGTTATGGATTGAATTGTGTCCCACCCTCACCCCAATATAAGCCAACTTGACCAGATCATGATTCTCAGTATTATATAATTGTCTTTCATTTTGTGATCGGATGTAGTTACCCTATGTGATTACCTCACTTCTGTGATGTTAATGAGACAGAATACAACCTACTGAGTTGCAGTAGTTTTACATATAATGCACTGATGTGAGTAACACAAACAATGCACATAGTAGGCATAGGAAGCTAATGAGCAAAGGGATTGTGGAGTTGGTTGGATGTTGTTTGTTTGGTGGTGTTTTTTTTTTTAAGTCACATACACCTTATTTGCTTAAAAACTAAGTACGCTATTTCTTGGGTCAATGTATTTTTCAATATAAAGGAAATGAAATAAACAATCAGAGACCTGAGAATCTTTGGCCTATACAGAAAGAAGAGCCAGGAACTCTATGGATCTGGGGCCAT